GAGTTCACCTCTGTATACCCCATGTCCTGTAAAGTTCCTAACACATAGTGAGCACACCACAAATATTTGCCGAATGTTGTTTTTTGAATGAATAAAAGGCAGAAGCAGAAACTTGTCATCCGGCATAATTGGGGTGAATTTAGGGAAAATTGCTTTGCTGTAATGTAGAGGGTTTATTTTCAAAGGAGGAAAGAGGAAAAAGTGCCCAGACTTGTACCTGTAAGTTACATCCTCCATTTCTAGGTTTACTGATGGTGAAATTGATCTATGGAAATGTCTTATTCTTTGAGGTATTTAGTCAGAAATGCAAGGTACTTCTCTACATGGCACCCCATCAAGAGCAGGGAGCGACCCTGGCCCCAAACCCAGCTCTTTTGGAACAAGATTTTTAGTTTCTCTTGCAAACACCTTGTCAACAACTTCACGGGCCTCCAAAGGAGCAAGATGGGAGTCCCAAGCTAGCCCATGCTTACCCACATTCACAATTGCATGTAAAGGAATTTGCAAAGAGACTCAAGGGAAAGCACAAAGGGATAAGGTAATCACTTGCAGTGAAAAAGTGTTTTCTTGAAAAGACGCTTGGAAATAATTGAAAGTTGAGTGGATTCCTACAAACGCGCCAAGAGTTTGTAATCTAGCCTATTCATTTTATGTCCTTTACTATTCATGATATCCTATTCTTCTACCCCGTTGTCTGGTAACTTTTTCTGAGGATTGACTTTCTGAAACAATGTGGTACACTCTTCCTATGAGGAGGAAACATCTGGGCTTTATTCTGCAGGCTTTGGAGGATGATGTGTCTTGTCAAGGGGTAAATAGCAAACTGATTTAATTTTTGCTTAAAACTATCTTAGTCATTCCAAAATAGAATGCATAAAAATTCTCTGTATTAGAAAAAGAAATGAGATATACCAATTGTATATTGTCTTTTCTTTATTTATTCTCTGTAAGTCTGTCAGATGATAAATTGTAAATAACAATGATTAAAGAAATATGCTACCGACGGATCCTTTTTTCTGTGAAAATAGCACTGTTTCTGGGTTTTATTACCCTTAACTCCTTACTCCCTTACATCCTTTTTGGAGAAGTGATGGGGAGTGGGGACACAGTTGAGGGGTGTATGTGGTGTGGATGCCTGTTTGTTGAGGGTTATCCAACAGAGGGTTATTTACGTAGGCCTCGCATATATTAGTTGACTGTTTATTGGAAGAAAATTACCTTGATCCCTGGCATATCCAAACATACTAGAGATTGGGATGTTATGTTTTCACATTGGTCCAGTTCTAGGGAATCTAGTCCAGAATTAGGGATCCTTTATTATTGTTGTTACAAAGTTGTCTTGTTTGATACACAGAAATCCCTTCTAAATCCAAATATCATCTGTCTCAAGACTGCTCACGCATACAAAAAGCAACAAAAAACTATGAACAACCAGAATACAGACTCAGTCTTCATAATAGAGAGTAGGATGGAACCACCCAAAACAACATACCTCTTAGCTGGTCCCTGAAGAATACATTTATACTTTTAATAATCTGAGTAATAGGAACTTATTTTTTTTTGGTGACAGCCATATTAGGTAAGGGAATGGATATAAATTCCCAGAGAATAACCAGAGGACTCATGAATGTACACTCTGACCACCAGAGTGTCTGGTTTGATTCCAGGACTAAAGGCCAGGTGTTCCAGTATCTGTGTAGTGAGAGTGGGGTATTGGGGGTGAAGAAGAAAAAAAAATAAGCAGGAACAGCAGAGATGCTCAAAGAGGTACAATTCTATTCTCAACACCTATTGCCTAAGTTTAAAGGTAGACATGAGTGATACATTTGCGTCCATACATGATAAGCCATAGATACATATTATGCATATATCTGAAAGTATAATTTGTTACTGAGGACGGAGATTATGTCTGCTCTTTTACTTTTTAACTAACAACTTGAAGGGCACTGCATTTTTCAAGTGCTAAGAACTAGAAAACTGATATATCTCCATTTATAATTTTATACTCATTTGTATTTGAAAAAGTAATGTATACACTTATAACATCCTCTGGTCCTTGAGTCCTCCAGAACAATAGCTTCTTATGTATAAGTAACATATGACCTTTTACTATCTAATGAAATGGGTAAAATCCCACTCTCAAAGTAGTTTTGCACCAGGCTGGTTGTATAGTGATTTGAAGAAAAAAAGAGATGAAAGATATCTCCAAGAAAAGTCACATGACCCCACTGGCAGCTGTTCTTTTGCCCGTTTGCAAACCAGAGGGAAGTTAGTTCTGGAGAGGATTATAAGGGCCCAGAACAGAGCTCTGTTATGGAGGCTAGAGATAACTTTACTCATCTTTATCTACCTAAGAGCTATTTCAGGCACGATAAAAGAAATCAGAGATCAGTTTCAGGGTTTAGGGTAAAGGCAGATTTATTATATGAACTAGCGAATAGACAGTCAAAGGTAAAGTGGCTACATTTACTCTTCCAGTCATGGGACCAAGGATTGGGATAAATGGGATCACTGTGTACCATGTTTCCTTCTGGTATTTCCAGGAAAATAGTCCATGAACAATACAAACTCAAGGTGACTAGTTTGAGATGATAAAAAAATTTACATTTACTTGTAAACAAAAATGCATTATGACTCTTACTGAGCAGTATCCTACATGTGATAAAATATTTTTAAAATACAAAATTAAATATCTGTCATCAACAGAGTTCTATTCTCCTTGTCTCTCTGGCACCTCTAGCAGTTCAGCCTGTCTTTCAAAGGTTGCAGAACCTTGAAAGTAGCAACTTTATTTGAAAGAAGGAAGAGGAAACCAAGGTCTCCTCACTTGGCTTGGATGGACATCATGATGGAAGGAGAGACTGCTGGTCTTGCTCTGAAGTCTTCAGGCCTTCACTTAAGTCACAGTCAGTCCTACACTGGTTGTCACCCTAAGATTGTGAAGATGCTGCCTCTTCACCTTATTTGTAGGAATGAGTTTTTCATAAGATAGCCACACAACCCTTTTGTCCCCTCTCTTATTCATTTTACAAGTCATCTCTGAGCTCTAGGACACTCTAAAAGGAGACTTTGGGTCTAGATTCTAAAGTTTGGGGTGTACCATCAGGCCTTATAAGATGGCCGCTCTCTTGCTCTCTGTACAGCCCTGCCCTACCTGGCCCTGCCTCACCCTTACCTTATGCACATGACTGCCTCCTTCTCCTAAGCGCAAAGTTTAATTAGTAACTACCTCTACGATCAGCCCAACCCCCAGCTAACTATTGTTCTAGCCCGAGGACCAGAATGACTCCAGTATGTTTGATCATCAACAAGAAAATCTGGCCCTTGCAATGGTTGCTAAACCAAAGAACAAGACCTTCCAGCAATCCCCCTGGCAACCAAGGAGCTCTTTTGATGTCAAATCCCCTATTACTGATAACCTTCTCCTCCACTGTGTAGCGAAGATTGCTGCCTTGTCCTGCCTGCTGTTGGCCATACACAGTGGTGTGTCACTCCAGGATCATTGCCTCTGACTTGTAAGGTTCCCTGTGCAATAAATCATTGATGTCTCTGTAGCTGACTTCCGGTTCTTTCTTTGGTCTAGTGACTGGGCAGTTGCAAGGATTGCAAGACCGCAGGGTGCAACCCAACATGGGGTTAATTTTACCCCAGGACTTTGAGAAAATATTATTAAATTGTGGCCTCTCAGGATAGTTGAAAGTGGGATTAAGGATAGGAGCTGAGTTTCACCCAAATAATAAAGAAGAATTGATAATTTAGGAATCAAATCTTTAATAATCACATTTATTCTTTCAGTCTAATTTTATTGGCATAAGATTTATCTCATACTAAACTGATACCAAATTAATCAAAACCTCTAGGGTATTCAAAAGCCAGTATAAATGATCTCAGTCATATCTTTCAGAGATCACTACTGTTTATAAATAACTAGAACTTTGAAAGAGGCTATGAAATAAAGTATGTTCCAGAGTTTGATACATGATGCGCAGTATTCCTCAGTGTGGACCGGGACTGGTGATGGTCACATTGTTACCAGTCCACAATAATCCAGAAACCTAAAGTTTTTATAGAAGTTTGGCAGAGTATCATCTGTTGAAGCTAATAAAAAATTTGGGGCTTGTATGCCTTTTGCATTTTATTTCATTTTTCTAGTAATTTATTTTTATTGTATATTACAAAAGTACCCATCTGGGATGGCTTTGAAAAACAAAGCGGGTCTTTTACCACAAAGAGTTTGAAACACAATGAAATAGGAGGTTACAGTACACGACCCATTGCGTCCTACAGAGTTCTAAGATTCTCTGGTTCCATACCATATTCCAAGTTTTGAAAATTGGTACTTCATGCATGATTCTACGTAAAGTTCTTAATAAAACAAATGTTCATTTTCGCGAAGATGAGTTTTTTAGAGGAGGAGGAGTTCTGGGACCAGAAGCTGGGCTGTTAAGTGGCACAGTGCCTGGATGGAAAACTAACTAGATGATAGACCCCAAGCTTCAGTTCCTAGATTCAAACCTTTCCTCTAAAATAAGGAGCTCTGGTGCAAATATCCTGAGGTCTTCCTGCAGTGAAGCGCCAATCAGAGGCGCCAGGGTATCGACCCTGAGGATACCACGAAGCCCGTACCCTATCACTCTGCTGGGAGCACAGCCCAAGCAAGACAAACGCCTTGCGCCACCGGCGCGCGCAGGGTCTGGGGCGGGACACCTGCTCCGCCGAGGGGCGGGGAGAGCCCGGATTGGTTTGGGCCTTGGGCTACATGCGGCTCCGCCCCTCGGCCTATCTCACTCCATTCCCGCCCCGGCGCCGCCAGCGGAAGGCGGGCTGCGATGGAGGAGGGGCCCAGCGCGAAGTAGATGACGCAAAAGGGAGGCGGGGCCCCGCCGGGCCCTGATTGAAGAGCTGGGGGCGCGGATGGGGCGGGCATACGGGTCAAAGTATAATACTTGTGAGAAGCCTTGCGCGGTACCTGCTTCAGGGTGCGTGGTGATAGGGTGCGCGACCATGCGGAAAGTGGTTTTGATCACCGGGGCGAGCAGGTGAGGGCTCCATCGCGATACTGGCGGCGGCGGGGCGGGGTGTGAGGGGTCCGAGGGAGCAGGAAGTACCGGGCCAGGAGGACCTGCCACCGACCGACCCCGGGAGCTCTCGTCGCCGACCCTGCCTCGGTGGGGACTATGGCCGAGACCCTGGCTCGCTCTTCCCTGGATCCCCCACTGCGCGAGGTACCGGACTTGTCGGCCCAGTGAGGGGCTCAGTAACTGGTGCTTTGAATTAAACATGACAGCGGAAAGAAAACTAGAGCGCCACTAAGAGATGAGTGTCTCAGTGACGATACTTTCTGTATCCAGGTAAAGGGCGCTTCCCACGCACACCTCGCCTCCTTCCCGTCTTTGACTTTCTCATCACCGGTAATTTAATCGTGACCAGGTCGCCATATTTTGTACTCCAGCTGTTTTTTTCTGTGCTAGACTTCTGGCCCTAGGTAAATTTCAGCGTCCATGAGCGTTAGAACACTGGGGGGAAAAATCTCATTCCATGTAACACCGTGCTAGACGCCTAGTATATATACTCTTCAGAAACTCAGAGGAAAGCAACTTTTTCCTGTTAAGGCATGGAAGGAATGCAAGTAACCATACTGCCAATGAGTAATTACTCCAGGGTTGGGCATTTGGATTCAGCCTCTTCTAGTGTCTGTTTTACATCTCATTTGCTATTAAGTGCACAGTGTGTGGAGGATGAAAGGAGCCAAACCATTTTTCTAATTGTTGCATTTAGAGTTTTGGGGGGATTAAGACTGAGGATATGTTAAATGTCACTTAAAATTAGTTCACTTTCAGTTATCTGGCCATGTCCATGTTAACTAAGCCAAACCTGGCAGGTGTCTGTAATGGGCAGAATTTTAGCGTGCCCCCACCTGAGTAACTTTAACAACTGGTTCGGTGCTTCCTACGTGGAAGTTGCTTAAATAAGTCAGATTTGATTTTGTGTGTTTGTTTCTTTTACAAATACTGTGATACGTGCAATTGTATATTTGTAGTAAAGGCCTATTCTCAAGTGGGGATGAATAAACATAACTATATTTGATGCTCAGGTTACTGATGGTACTAGGCTTTTTGCCTGGAATCAGCTTAAGTCTTGGAAGAAAACCCATTTACCCAGGTTTTCATTGTTATCAGCCAACCTGGTCTGAATGCTGTCCCCATTATGTGGTTTCACAATGCTCTTTCTGAAGGAGGTCATTTATCTTTGACACTTGTACTCATCCCTGCTTCTCTCTCCTGGTACCCATCTTATATGTCCCATTCCTATCTTCTACCTAATCATGTTGAGTTCTTTCTCTTCCTGTTGGTTATTCAATCGTAGCAGTTGAGAGGGACTTGTATCTCCTGCCATGTTACTTATACCTTTTCCTTGAAAGATTCATCCATTCCATATCAGGAATTTCTGGTACTCCTGCTACTGGCCATGATACCAACAGATAGTAGAGCCCTTGCCCTCGAGGAACTTAGCAGAGTAAAACATGCACACCGGAAAACACTAATAAGATGTTCTTTCCCACATTTGCTGGTGATGTACTGAATCACTTTCATGAGTGTCATAATCAGTGTAAAATGAAAGCCACTGGCAGGATAAACTCTGTCTTAAAAGAAATGCTAAAGGAGAACTCTGATTTGCAGTCGAGTTATTTGGGTCATTGAGCTTTTGCAGAATGAAAGAAACACAAATGGGACAGCCTCCTGAGCCAGTGACTATTAGAGTTGGAGGGTTCCCCCTTCTTTACATAATTTTTGAATTCTTTCTGTCTACCTGGGCTCCTGGTTGGGGCTCAGGTTGACAAAATCAGTCTTCTGAGCCAGGGAGAAATGCTTCTATTTGGCACCATCTCATTGAATGCATATTCTGTATCTGAATTGTCCTTTCAGTGGCGTTGGCCTAGCCCTCTGCAGGCGGTTGCTGGAGGAAGACCATGAACTTCACCTGTGCTTGGCGTGCAGGAACATGAGCAAAGCGGAAGCCGTCCGCACTGCTCTGCTGGCCTCCCACCCCACCGCCGAGGTCTCCACCGTGCAGGTGGATGTCAGCAGCCTGCCGTCAGTGTTCCAGGCCTCCAAGGAGCTCAAGCAAAGGTATGCCTCTTGTGGATGGCTTTTCTCTCATGTGATTGTGCAACACAACAGCTAATAGAATAAGAAATGATAGGAAAACCTACAAAAGAAATAGGTGCAGTATAAAAAGAAGTTACGCTGAGGAAATCTGTATAGAGTGACCCGTTATTGCCTTGCCTCAGTACCAAAATTTCATTCTCAGTCATAATCATGACCATTCCATGAAGACTAATTTATCAGTGTATTTTGACATGTGGTCAGTTGTGAAGCTTTATGTTAGTGTAACTCCTTTGATGTTTGAATGCATTTTTTGCATCTTTCCTTCACATAAGAACTTCATTAAGTGGTAGGGCAGGTACTGACAAGTGAAGAAAATTCCCCAGGCCACTAAAAATCTGTTCATACCTGGACAGTAATTGGCATGTAATAAACATTTGATAAATATTTAGTATATGAAGGGATAGAGTCCTTGGATGTATAAATTCCCAGAAAGTGTGTACAATAAATTGCATATGGGTGCACAATGCACTTTTCTGGAGAGAGAGGGCATGCTTTTTATTAAATTCTAAGGGGAATTTATGATCAAAAAGTCAAGAACCCTGCACTAGTCCATGCTAAGTCCTAGCAATATCTGGAATAATTAAATTTAATCAGTCATTTAATTTAATCAATAAATTATTAATTACATTTTTGTAATTGAGGTCCTTACAAAGCAAGAGCTGCTTTATTTCCTTGGACAATAAAATGAACTTCAGTATACATAAGGAAGGCCTTCTTGGTTAAAGCGTTGGCTGAAGAATAATAGTTTGCTTTTTAAATTTTTTTTGTTTTTTTGTTTTGTGGTACGGGGGCCTCTCACTGCTGTGGCCTCTCCCGTTGCGGAGCACAGCCTCCGGACGCGCAGGCTCAGCGGCCACGGCTCACGGGCCCAGCCGCTCCGCGGCATGTGGGATCTTCCCGGACCGGGGCACGAACCCGCGTCCCCTGCATCTGCAGGCGGACCCTCAACCACTGCGCCACCAGGGAAGCCCAATAGTTTGCATTTTATATATGTTTATTGATAGCAGTTTGCATTACCCTGTTCCACATGTACAAGTTACAAAGTGAAACTGTTTTTCTTCGGCACAGTTTTCCCTGCAGCCTTAGCCCTTTGTAAATGAGGGTTTGCTCTCCTCTACTGCTGAGCTCCTAGAATTTTCTGTCACATTATCTTTCTGAAAACTGAGCTTTTCTAGGTTTCACATCTACTTTTCCATAACTTGTCTCCAAGTCTGTGAAACTGTACAGTCAGTGTCCTTACTGATTTAAAAACCCTCAAGTCGGGAGAGCAGTTATGAGTTTCACGTCGTGTTTGCAGGCTTTCTGTCCCCAAACCTTCTCAGCCAGTTGGCTCTCTCATCCTGTTTTGTATAGATTTAGTTATTTCCTTGTTTAGCAGAACAGAACCTTCATCCTCAGTTAGTCGTAGCCCATTTCAGTGCAGTTTTGAGATTTCATGTTGCGACATTCATAGTACTGACTATTCTCAACTGCCTTCAAAGGCTCAGGATAGGTTATCACAGTTTTAGTAATTTAGTATTTAGTAAGATATTTAGTAATTCGACCCTAACGTATGGGGGGGAGGCTGTGGGGAAGAAGGCAGCACTAAGACGATGAGTTGTCCCAGCTGCCTGTCAGCATTTAAGTGCAGCGTTGATGTATTTATTTAATTCTCAAAACAGCTCTCTTTGAGGTGGGTGGTATTATCCGAATTTAGGAAATGATGGTTGTAGTGATACTGACAAATTTGGGAATAGGTGACAGTGTTCAGATAGATCTCTTGCTTATACGAAGAATGTCTTGCACTTTGTGGCCCAAATGGATATCTTCGACTATGGACCTAGATTTAGAGGCGAAGAGAGCTTGAGAAGGGCCCTTTCCAGTTGGCTGAAGCAGCACCATTCCTGATGCTGGTCTTTCCACCTGTGATACTCTGTTCTATTAGATTTGTGCCGCTGAAAATTGATAAGGAATAGTGGTTCCGTTTTATCCAGAATAGAGCAATTGTGTCAGTCATTTAAGCTTTCAAGGGTACTATGCCGTTTAACTGCAGCCAGACCTGAATTTGGAAATTTGCCATTTCCACTCTTTGCTAAACATTCCCTCTCCATTCCCAGCGAGATTTGTTAGTATACTTAGATGAAAGTTTGCAAGTTAGATAATGGAACAACTAGCAATAGCTGGACCCATACTGTCTTTGTGGCTCTTACGTGGATAACCTGATGGTATCAATATTAGCCATTTAAACAGTTTATAATTAGAGCCATGCGGCTGTTGATTACTTATAGGATGATCAGGAAATGTCGTGTGTGGTGTGTATCGGTAGCCATGATCCTGAGGTACCAGCTTTAGTAGCTGTGGCCCGTGTTGTCCTGGGTTATACGGAGGTCATGGAGACAGTGTGGTGCACAGAATTCTAGGCGACATTCATGGTGTCTGTAAGTATAATGAGCACAGGCTCTACTTACCTTGAACCTAGTTCAAAAAGAATACACTTAGATCAAGGTTTATGTTGGTGAAAAAGGCTTCGCAAGTCATCATTTCACACGTGTCCTGGAGGGAGCCTATCGGAAGCACCTTACCCCCATTCAGCTTCTATAATCTCACTGTATTCTTGTGAGCTTTCATCATTTTATGACACAGAGCACCTGGCCGTGAACAAGGAGAGGTTTCCACATGGATCTAATGCTCTAGTGGATATCTTGGCGTTCAGATTCCAGCACTGATGGATCAGATTATGTAGATTTCACTTGTCAATGAGGGAAGATGTGAATTTAAAAAAAAATGCAAAAATGTTTCTAAGACCAGAAGGAGAGTGGGTTTAATAGAAAGTTGCCTCAGTGCCTTGTTGGGAGGACTAAGCTGGAAGGAGCATTGATCAGAGAAGATTGAACTTCAAAGCCCATTATAGCTCTCCAAATTCTGTTTGAAGCCACCATCAAAAAAAAAAAGAATACTCAAATATTTACCGTGGCTAAAGAAAAACTGTTGAGAAAGTAATACTGATGCTTTAGCTTGCTATGGCCATCTTTTTGGTTCAGAAAGTACTTTCTGTCCTTCATAGGCCTTTATTCTAGTTGCTCAAAGAGATAACTAACAATCTTTTCTTGGTTTTACTTGCAGGTTTCAGAGATTTGACTATGTATATCTAAATGCTGGGATCATGCCTAATCCACAGCTAAATATCAAAGCACTTTTCTGTGGCCTCTTTTCAAGGTAATTTCCGTCTTCTAGGTGAACTGATTAGAAGGAAGGTGTTTATTACTTTGCCTAGTTTTGCCCTCAGTAGGATAACTTGAGGAGATGAGGGGGTGTTGAGAAGAATGAAGACAAAGGGCGTGTTGCAGCCATGTCATGAAAGAAGGTTTCATCTTTGTGAGGAATGTTGCAAGTCATGATTCTTATTGTGTTCTTGGTCCCCAGGGCATTCTGAGCGGTTGGACATTTTGGCAGGTCAATTTTGGTCTGCCTGACTGTGTCTGTTAGCAAGAACATTTCAGAACTAGGCAGAATTGTCAGTGAGACTCTAATACCCAGGAAGGCAACTTGAGAAGCATTTCTCAGCTGTATGTCAGGTGCCCTGACCAGCAGGCTGGGGAAATGTACAGACCTAAATACCTTCCTGGGAGATTCTCTATATGCATTATTAGCATGGCTTCCAAAAATGTTTAACCACAACCTATAGTAAGAAATAAATCTTATTTTATGACCCAGGGTACTTATTCATAAACAGATATTACTCTCACTGCATGCTATTTCCTATACTGCTATTTTTGTTTTACTTCTCTGCCATTAAACACAGCCCTACACACAAAATTCCACGCTGGTCTTGACCTACGACATAGATCTCACAGCAAATCAATTAGTATATTTGATGCTTCAAGGATTCCTGATAATAAAACAGCCTGTTTAACTTTGTTCAGCAGTTAAAAGTCAGTGTTCAGGGGAAGACTTTTTCTTCTTGGCGTAGCTATTATCCCCCCAGGGCAGTTGACTTGTAACCTGATTTGGAAAGAGGTGACGAGAGTTTTTGCAGCAGGTTTCTGAGAGACTCAGGTTCCTCTTGGTAGTATGAGCTATAACTATGTAAGTCCTTCTGTGAATTGGGGCAAGAAAGCATTTTTGCATTTGATTTAGTACTCATGATAACCCACTCTGAGAAATAGGTATTTTTGTTCCTGTTATTACAGAATCAAGGAAAATGTAGTTTTGGGGTGGGGGAAGGCAGGAGGGGGTGTCTGTTTAGTATCTTCAGTTAAGGAAGCTTTAAAAAGTCATGCAATTGTCTTCTACTGTTTCAGAAAAGCGATTCATATATTCTCTACAGCTGAAGGAGTGCTGACCCAGAGTGAAAAGATTACTGCTGATGGCCTCCAGGAGGTGTTTGAAACCAATGTCTTTGGCCACTTTATCCTGGTAAAAAGGCTTTGGGCTTAATAAGCCAACACTTAGTACTGTGATGCTAAACACTTGCACAGATAGATCACAGTGCTGTTTTGTTAAGCTCATTAGTTTATGGCTAGCATTAAATCTTTGTGTGTTTAAATAGGGTGATCACTCTACTCTTTGAAGACATTGCTTAAAGCAGCCTACTGGTATATTTTTTCTTTTGACATCAGCTTTAGAGATCGGAGAGAAAGTAAGGTATAAACACAGAAGCACCTTCAGAAACAATGTACAGAGCTGAGTAAGTGCACCAGTAATGTTCTAAATGGTCTTTGAAACTGGGCTTTGCATCAGATAGGATGGGGTGACAGGGAAGCCATTATTAAACATTACTTCATGGTTAATCTTTTACTATCTTGATTAGTGATTTTTTTAAGCATCTGGTCTGGTGTGTCACAATTTCAGGCAACTATAAAGTTAAGCAAGGGATGTGCAACTTGTCTAGGTTGTTCTGTGCTTTTGCCTCAGGTTTAATCTCATAGGACAGCTTTAATATCTAGATTAAGTAATGGCCAGATCTGTTGCCAGTTGCTTTTAATTCCGTGGTGCTAGAAGAACTCCTTCTAATGCTGGCTTTGCTTGCATAGAACTTGTATCTCTGACACTTTTACATTCATGATCACTTTTTTCACCTTAAACCTAATTTCCCTCAAAATTGGACCTCCTTGAGGACTAGCCTGTATATACATAATTTAAGATATACATAAACACTGGAATATTGTGAAACCACTGAAAGAAATCAGATAAATATTTTGCACTTACATGGGATAGCCTCTAGTATTTCATTATTGAGAAGAAATAGCGGGTTGTAATATGTATAGTGTGATCTCATTTGTATAAACAAACAAAAATATATATCTTTACACATTGTATATACATGTATATACTATTTCTAGAATGATACAGATGAAATTGGGAACAGTGGATACCTTTGAACTGGGGTGCCAGAGCATCAGGGATTAGTGGGAGATCCATGTTTCATTCTGGTTCCTTTAGAATGAAACATGAATCTTAAAAAAGAAAAATGTGATATTACCTTTTCAATGACAAAATTTAAAATATAGTTCAGGATGGGATTGAATTCTTATATGGTCATGTTTTATAACTCTACAGGGATTCATTATCTAATATTTCCTTTATCTTTTCATAACCCTCTCCTCTTTCTTTGTTCTCTTTTCAAATTATTAAATTAATTGGCAATGATAGAGGGTAAGTTAATTGTTGCTGTTAATAGTCTGTTAATTTTTTGATGAATCTATTGTTTAAAAAATTGTTAAGGAAATCTAGTATTGGGGTAATCCAGGTTGGGGGAATGGCAGAGGAGAGTTGTGGCCAAAGGCACAGTTATTCCAGGTGTCCTTGTGACATGACTTATCCTTGTGTATCCTTATATAGGGGTTTTGGGATTGATTTATCAAATAAAATGATAGGAAGGTTTATGATGCCTTCCACTCTCTCCAAATTAGTTTTAGGAATCTTACAACTTTTTATGGATCACAAACTTGGATTCTGTGTCCAGATGTAAATGCATTATATAAATGGATCCATCCCCAGTTTGATTATAAATGACCAAACTTTTAGGGCTGTTAAAAGAGTAGAGAGAATTTCTGTAAAGTTCCAGGCACAGTGCAATATTACAGTTGTGGAACCAGGTAACTGATTTAATCTCATGTTCATGAGTTCTCTTGATTGTGTTTGATGTAAATGTTCATTGCACATCTGGAAGCTTTCCTAGATTTTAATTTAATAAAATTTTAGTTTTAGGATAATTTTAGATTTATAGAATTATTTCAAAGAGAGTTCCTGCATACACTATGCCCAGTTTCCTCTATTATTGACATCTTACATTAGTATGGTAGATTTGTCACAATTAGTGAACCAATATTGATACATTACTATTAATGAAAGTCCATACCTTATTCAGAACTCTTCAATTTTGTGTGATGTCCCTTTTCAGTTCTAGCACCCCTTCTAGGATACCACATTACGTTTAATAGTCAAATCTCCTTAGGCTCCTCTTGGTTGTGATAGTTTCTCACACTTTCCTTGTTTTTGAAGACCTTGACAGTTTTGGGATTACTGCTCAGGTACATGGTCCCTTGATTGGGATTTGTCTGTTTTCCTCATGGTTAGATTTGAGAAAATGTGTTTTTAGGAAGAAGACCACAGAGATGGAGTGCCATTCTCATCATATCCAATCAGTATGTTTTATCAGTATTGATGTTCTTTTTTCTTTTTAACATCTTTATTGGAGTATAATTGCTTTACAATGGTGTGTTAGTTTCTACTTTATAACAAAGTGAATCAGTTATACATATGTTCCCATATCTCCTCCCTCTTGCGTCTCCCTCCCTCCCACCCTCCCTATCCCACCCCTCTAGGTGGTCACAAAGCACAGAGCTGATCTCCCAGTGCTATGCGGCTGCTTCCCACTAGCTATCTATCTTACATTTGGTAGTGTATATATGTCAGTGCCACTCTCTCACTTCATCCCAGCTTACCCTTACCTTACCCCATATCCTCAGGTCCATTCTCTACGTCTGCGTCTTTATTCCTGTCCTGCCCTTAGGTTCATCAGAACCTTTTTTTTTTTTTTTTTTTAGATTCCATATATATGTGTTAGCATATGGTATTTGTTTTTCTCTTTCTGACTTACTTCACTGTATGACAGACTCTAGGTATATTGATGTTCTTTTTGATCCCCTGACTTGAATCTGTGTTTGTCAGGTTTTTCCACTATTAAGTTACTTGTTTCTTTCTCCCTTTACATACTGTACTCTTTGGAAGAGTTACTATATGTAGCCCACACTTAAGGGGTTGTGCTTGACCTCCTTAAGAGTAGAGTAGCTATATGAATTATTTGGAATTTTTCTGCAAGGGAGATTTGTCTATTCTCCACTTAAATCTTTATTCAATCACTTATTTATTGGCCTATTATTCCTCAGTAAAACTGAAAAAAATCATTTGTTATATCCATGCAGATTCATGGATATATATTTTTCTACTTTGTATTATAAATACTACTTTATTTTCTTAAATTATTTTAGTTTGGGCCATTGGGAGCTCTTTCAGTTGGAACCTCTATATCTTTTTTTCTTTTTTTTGGTACATGGGCCTCTCACTGTTGTGGCCTCTCCTGTTGCGGGGCACAGGTTCCAGACGCGCAGGCTCAGCGGCCACGGCTCATGGGCCCAGCCGCTCCGCGGCATGTGGGATCTTCCCGGACCGGGGCACGAACCCGTGTCCCCTGCATCGGCAGGCGGACTCTCAACCACTGCGCCACCAGGGAAGCCCGTGGAACCTCTATATCTTTTTAAAAAATTTATTAATTAAAAATTTTATTGAAGTACAATTGATTTAGAATGTTGTGTTAGTTTCAGGTGTACAGCAAAGTGATTCAGTTATATGTACATGTATGTGTGTGTATACACACACACACACACACACACACACACATACACACATATCGTTTTTTTTCAGATTCTTTTCCCATATAGATTATTACAAAATACTGAGTATAGTTCCCTGTGCTATACTTGTTGGTTATCTATTTTTTATATGGTAGTGTGTATATGTTATTCCCAAATTCCTAATTTATCCCTCCCCCCGACCTTTCCTCTTTGGTAACCATAAGTTTGTTTTCTACGTCTGTGAGTCTGTTTCATAAATAAGTTCATTTGTATCATTTTTTTAGATTTCACATATAAGTGATGTCATATGATATTTGTCTTTCTCTGACTTCACTTAGTATGATAGGTCCATCCATGTTGCTGCAAATGGTATTATTTCATTCTTTTTTATGGCTGAGTAATATTCCATTGTGATATATATATATATATATATATACATATACATATATATATACATATATATGTATATATATACACACACACACACACCACATCTTCTTTATCCATTTATCTGTCGATGGACATGTAGATTGCTTCCATGTCTTGGGTATTATAAATAGTACTTCAATGAACATTGGGGTGCATGTATCTTTTTGCAGTATGGTTTTCTCCAGATGCCCAAGAGTGGGACTGCAGGATCATATGGTAGCTCTATTTTTAGTAGAGCTCCTCCATACTGTTCTCCGTAGTGGCTGTACCAGTTTACATTCCCATCAACAATGTAGGAGGGTTCCCTTTTCTCCACACCCCTCCCCAGCATTTATTATTTGTAGTCTGGTATGAAGTGACACCTCATTGTAGTTTTGATTTGCATTTCTCTAATAATTAGCGATGTTGAGCATCTTTTCATGTGCCTCTTGGCCATCTGTATGTCTTCTTTGGAGAAATGTCTATTTAGATGTTCTTCCCATTTTTTGACTGGGTTGTTTGTTTTTTTGATATTGAGCTGTATGAGCTGTTTGTATATTTTGGAAATTAATCCCTTTTTGGTTGCATCATTTGCAAATATTTTCTCCCATTCTGTAGGTTGTATTTTTGTTTTGTTTACGGTTTCCTTTGCTATGCAAAAGCTTTTAAGTTCAATTAGGTCCCATTTGTTTACTTTTGTTTTCATTTTCATTACTCTAGGAGGTGGATCCAAAAAGATATTGCTGCAATTTATGTCAAAGAATGTTCTGCCTATGTTTTCCTCTAGAAGTTTTATACTATCTGGTCTTACATTTAGGTCTTTAATCCACTTTGAGTTTATTTTTGAGTATGGTGTTAGAGAATGTTCTAATTTCATTCTTTTACATGTAGCTGTCCAGTTTTCCCCTCACCACTTATTGAAGAGACTGTCTTTTCTCCATTGTATATTCTTGTCTTCTTTGTCTTAGATTAATTGACCATAGCTGCATGGCTTTATTTCTAGGCTTTCTGTCCTGTGGAACCTCTATATCTTTGACATGCCCTCATCATTATAACTTTCTGGTTTTGTTTTGAGCACATCCTTTCTGGCATCACATGATGTTTAAGACTCATCTTACATATTTCCTATCCCAGTCTCAGAATCAGCCATTTTCCTAAGGAGATCTGTTTCCTTTTATTGGAGAATGGTATTAGAAACCAAGGTCTGTGTGCTTATTGCTGTTGAGATAGCATTTGCTTCTAGGCTCTGTCAGCTAATAGAGCAAGGATGTATCTATGTGCATACTAACCCATTTATGTATAAATATCTGTAAATATTTTGTATGTAACCATCTGAATCTTTATTAAGCTAATCATGAGTTCACACTGATGTCTCTGACTCTAATCCCTTACCACATAGATCAGTCTAGTCTCTTCTCTTGTGTACCTGTGTCCCACTCTACCAATGACATACCTGTTCAATTCTAGTGTACATTTATATTGGTTTCAAACTTGTTATCTTGTACTCCCCCAGTATATTTTGATACATTTTTTGTTTCTTTTATTCCTCATTCAGATTCGGGAACTGGAATCTCTCCTGTGTCATAGTGACAGTCCATCTCAGCTCATCTGGACATCATCTCGTAATGCAGTGAAATCTAATTTCAGCCTTGAGGACATCCAGCACAGCAAAGGCCAGGAGCCCTACAGCTCTTCCAAATATGCTATTGACCTTCTGAGTGTGGCTTTGAACAAGAACTTCAACCAGCGGGTGAGGCCTGTCTCAGTGATATGGAAATGGCAGGGCAGTGATTTCTGAACTACCATTGATTTCCTAGTAAGATGGCTGGCTTTCTAGTAACTATTGTAGTTTAGAAGATGAAATATTGTTTCTTGAGCAGGATTGCTATGAGGACAAGATAAGACGTGATAAAGACTGATAGTTGATGTATAGGAAAGTTTTAGGGCCGAGATAATTAGCTCCTGACCTTTTAGATATATGGGGGTTCACTCACCATTCCATAGCTCTTCAAGAGCTATATTTTATATAACAGAATGATACTACTAACAATGTCAGTAGTTACTGTTAAGCATTTGCTATGTTTTAGGTGCTGTCCTTTTTATCTATGTATGTCATTTAATACCTTTCCCATCATAGTGAGGTAGGTCTGAGTATTCCCATTTTCATATGAGGACACGAAAGATTGGAGCCCTTAAGTCATTTACCCAGAAGTCACGCAGCTAGTAAAGGGGAGAGCTCAGAGTTGAGCCCACGGCTAACTTCATAGCTTGGATTTTTCCCACTAAGCCATGCTGCCACCCAGTGTTTATTATATCTGATGTTATAGGACAGTTGGTACTTAGAAAGCCCTCTGGAGAGTGGTGACCTTTGGTGAGGCTGCAGAGCTCTGTTTCTGTGAGGACCCGGGTTTTGAGAGCAGCTGTTGTCAGTCATGCTGGCTCCTTGTGTCCTCTATGGTCTGGAACTTAGTGCTTCTTTGTGTGTCTCTCTTGCCCAGGTCTAAAATCTTAACTGGAAATCTCCGGTCTTTCCCATGGGCATTTTCCTTTGTTTGCTTTGACTCTGTTTTTTGAGTGTGGGACTGGGGAGAAATTTAATTCCACTAATATTTACAAAAGACTGACCATTTTTAGGGTACTGGCTCAGGCTTAGAATCGAGGAGGAAGGAAAAATAAAAAGACAGTGCAGAAACTATCTGCCCTTAAGGGACGTTCTTTGATCACACTTTAGGTACAGCAATCTAAGCCTTACGTAATGGTCTAGACCTGGTTGATTCTGCAATGGAGACCTTCATCAGGTGGAATTCTCACTTCTGAGAACTGGCTCTTAGAATCAAGCCTCTTAGTGAAGAGGGTGGTATAAAAGTAGAAGCTATGAGCATATTCTCTAGAAATGCATTTGATTCCTTGCTTCGTCACCAGCTTTGTAAACTTGGACAAATTATTTAATCTCCTTGTACTTCAGTTTCCTTATCTGAGAAACAGGGATAATAATAGTGCCTGCCTCATAGATTTGTTGGGAGGCTTGAATGATGGGATTGGTACGAAGCAGTCACAGCCATGCTTTGTGCTCAGAATGTGTGTGTGTGTGCGTGCGTGTGTGCATGTGTCTGCACACATGTGGGCGTGAATGGGTGGGAGGGTGTGTGCTTGTGTGCATGCATACATGTGTGAGTGTGCCTATCCACATGCACATGTGTGGGTTTTTCGGGTGTGTGCATATGTATATAAATGTGATTGTATATGTGGTATGTGTGCTTGGGTATGGGTGTCTGGTCATGTGGTCTGCACCTGTGTGTGCATGTGCTTATGTGTGTTGACTGTTCTTCTTGTTATTATTTGAGCTCAGTGTGTTGGTCCAGTTGTGAGCCTCCTCCTGAGATTTCTTGAGATGTTTAAAAACTTGTCACAACTGCTTGTCCTCTGGAAACTCCCTTTTAGGGGTAAGGTCAGAGTGGATTAGCTTCTCTTTTCATAATAAGCTCTGGGATTTTGCTTGTCTCAATTGTCAATTGCTTGTTTCTTTTGTTGCTTAATGTCAGAAAGTTGTATGTGTTGGAAGCCCTGGATTTTAGTTCACAGATGTCTTCATTTAGGGCTGAAAAGGCCCTAACTGTTCCTGGCTAGTTCCCAGAATAAGAAATTTTCCTTAGCTATCTTTGGGGCAAAATATTCTTGGGAAGAATTTTTGGTCTCTAAGACTCCTGACTTTTTTCAGAGGACTGTTGGTAAATCCAGGGGCTGGATTATCCGTGTCAGGCACCTCCAGGCCCTTGCAGCACTGAATAAAGGAAGAAGACCTTCCAGCTTTTGATGCTCAGGGTGCTTTCTGTCCACTGAACTGACGGTGCTACACTGGCATTTTCTATTTTTGTTTAAAAGAAAAATAATAAGATTAAAAGTAATAAAAATATGAATTAAAATGGTCAACATCAAAATAAGGTAAAATGCAGTGAAAATTAAACCAAATAAACTAGTAAAACAAATCCCAGTGCTTAAAGACCACCCAGGGCCTCTTCTATTACTAATATGTGCCGTATGTTAACTGGGGCTCTCTTTATAGAACAGATCTTTCTAAAATGATGAGTCCTGGGCTAAGAACCTGATTTAGAGATCTTCAGTTGGAGGAGGTCTTTTTGGAATCACACACAGCCCTCATTCCTCTCTGATGCCAGGAGCTCCCAACTCAAGCTAGAGATATGGACCTTATATACCTGCAGGGAAACAGACACAGTTGAGGTTTAGTTGTCTGTATTTACTAGATCAGAAACTTCTTTCAGGCAAAGACTTTACCGTGTATGTCTTTTTTTATCTTAACTGCTTATTTTTTTTTAACATCTTTATTGGAGTATAATTGCTTTACAGTGGTGTGTTAGTTTCTGCTTTATAACAAAGTGAATCAGTTGTACATATACATATGTTCCCATATCTCTTCCCTCTTGCGTCTCCCTCCCTCCCACCGTCCCTATGCCACCCCTCTAGGTGGTCACAAAGCACCGAGCTGATCTCCCTGCGCTATGCGGCTGCTTTCCCACTAGCTATCTACCTTACGTTTGGTAGTGTATATATGTCCATGCCACTCTCTCACTTTGTCACAGCTTATTTTGATTGGTCAGCTGATCTTCAATTAAGCTAATAACATGGAAAACTCAGGTAACCGGGTCCTACTTTTCTTGTCCAGCTTCAAGCTTGGTTATTCTTTGTTCTCTGTTTCTTGAGAATAGAGACTTTACCTTACTAAATTTTGCATCCTGAGTGCCTCTCATAGTGAGTTCTCAGTACATGATTCTTAAACTGAAATGGTCTACCCAGCTGCAAGGACAACTTAGAGCATAAATCCTTGATGCCCTGGCTTGCTGGCTCATTTGTGTATCTCCTTTATTAACTAGCACATAGGTGACTCAAAGTATATTGAATTAAAATTAATTGCTACCCCTCTCTGTGTTCCCAGGGTCTGTATTCCAGTGTAGCGTGCCCAGGTACGGTGCTGACCAATTTGACATATGGAATTCTATCTCCCTTTGTGTGGTCGTTGATCATGCCAATCATATGGCTGGTAAGTGATGAATACTTCTTGTCTTAGTTTACTTAAGCTGTTCGAGTTGGAACCAAAAAGTTGTGTTTAAGGGTTGGGCAATAAGAAATTGAATCTGAAGGTGTCAGAATTCCATTTCATTCAAGGGTTTTGACATTACTTAGTATGTAATCTCTGCTTCATACTACCTGATATTCCGACTGTACCACCATCTGAGTGTCCACTTTTCTCTAAGGGAATGTTTCTTTGGTCATGCACCATAGATCCCAAGAATTCTATGATTATATAATTTTGGGAAACCTGTGTTCACATATTATTGAGACGTATATTACGTCTCAATAATATGTTATATACATCTCAGAGACATGTTAATACATCTTTTGTTACCCAAACGGTGTTGACTAGAGACGTTTCAATATTCATTTACATAACAAATTGCAGGCTACAGGCATTAGTTTCTGCAAAAATCCCCTGGTCAATAACGAGTTAAACGATATCAAACTGGATTTCTCTGAGCTTTTAATGTAGTCAGATGCATTAAAAGTTCCCCGAAAGTGTATGATTGTGCATTGTATGATCATAGAATCATGTTTTTGCTTGTTTGTTTTGTATTTTGAGCACCTTGCAGGACCAGTGTCCTCCAGCACACATTAGAAAATGTTGCTTTTAGGAAGTGTTCCTCCCTTGTAGAGCTCAGGAAAAAATATCCCTCCATTATAGCAGGCAGAGAAAAAAGATGAGAGGGAAATATACCTTCATGTTAAAAGTTGTTGATTGGAGTAATGGAGATTCAGTGATATTTCTTATTTAGATTTCTTTATTTTTTGAAACTTAAAAAAATGCTCTATGATAAGAAATGCAGGTTGTCTTTTTTAATATTTAAATGAATAATGCTTTTGTGACTCTAAACCACCACGAAATGACTATGGTTTTCTTTTTCTTAGTTACGGTTTTTTGCAAATGCTTTCACGTTGACACCATACAATGGAACAGAAGCACTGGTATGTTACTAGAGTTTTAATATACTGTATTCACTTTGCAGATGTAGACTGTAAGTTCACTGGTTTAGAAACAATCTTAACAGAAAAGATAAGAGAACAAACTCTGAATAATCAAGGTCCTGTTTAGGACTAAGTTCTGAGCATTAGGAGTGAACTTTCAAAGTTTGGTATGTTTCATGGCACTGGATACCGTGGTTGTGGGGACAGCACTTCTGTAGAAGCAAAATACATGAGCAGCTGGAGGAGAGCACAGCGTGGAATACTGCAGCGGCAGGCAAAGCAAGACGGTGGCTGGGCAGTCAGTGTGAGGCTTCCTGTGGAGAAGGTGTGTTTCATGGGTTAAGAGTAGAGGCAACGAAGTCCAGCTCCATTTCCATATGGGAAGGTTCTCTTTTCTCTGTTAATATTCGAGAATCGAGTTGTTACTTGATTAGAAAACAAGTTTGTTTCCTTAAATTGCACATGTGTGGATTGCATGTGTTTCCTCATCAATAGCAGACGTTAGTAATGGATCATAATACTCTGTTCTGTTTACATAAATGATGTCTCTGAGTGTTTTTCAACTCAAGGCCCAAAGACATCCACTGCTAATGGATCAGAATCATCATTCAAGATGAAATTTATTTTTCCTCTGTGCTTTACACCATCTGGTTGAAATTCTATTGTATTAGTCAGTTCTCTGTGTGTGTGTGTGTGTGTGTGTGTGTGTGTGTGTGTGTGTGTGTGTGTCTGTCTCCCTCACTCCGCTTAGCTCCCTCAGGATTTCTGCTAGGCATCTTGAAAACCCGAGAGCCTAGCACTGTAGTGCTCATACTTAACAGATTCTTAAATCGTAGCTGAACTGAAATTAAGGCAAATGTTAAGGGAATTGACTTGGCACTCTTCTTTCGGTAAACATTGCAGAAACAAATGCATTTATTGTACAGACACAAACACAGTAGAAGCAAGTACTTTAAAACTAATTTTAATTATTTCTTAATGTATATGTCAAACTATTTAAGATGATGAATAGTCCTTTAGGGCACTCATTCCGCACATTTATGTCACTAAAAGTCAAGTCTAGAGGTCAAGTATATATTGAGTGTCGGTGGTGTGGAAATAGAAGTCAAAGTCTAGTTAGAAGTCAAAATAGTTAGAAGTTACTAAGGAACTTAGAGTCATGTTTAGAAAAAAAAAGAATGAATAGAGAAAATAGACAAGAAAGTAAGACATTCTGTCATCTGGTGGCAAGTACTGTAGGAATAATCAGAAAGGAGGATCACAATGGGGCTGGACTAGTTGGAGGAGCCTTTGCTTGATGAGTCGGGCTTAATCCGGGCTCTGAAGGATAGGTTGGATTTGGATGAGATGAGCAGCATGACCCCAGTGTCACGGTTTAAAAAGTTTGTTGTGACCTTGCTGTAATTTCCTTCAGTGTGGATGGGTAGGAGGTAATTACCACTTAGTGATGGTTATATATGCTGGTGGATACAAATGAGAGTTTGAGCACACCATGTGTGTAGCAAGAATCTCTTCAATCTTTGGATAAGTTTTATCTCCTTAAATGGTTTGAACCTGAGTGACCTAAAGCACAGTGGTTAAGAATGTGCTATATATAATTCTATTACTCTAGAATTACAGTAATTCTGTTCAAATTCCATTTCTCCAGTTTCTGGCTGTGAACCCTTGGGCACATGTTTTTCACTCATCTAAGCCTTTTACTATTAACTATAAAATAGGAATTATAGGAGTAAATGAGAGAAGGCTTACTGTAAAGGATTCTGTGTATTTCAGCATTTGAGATTTTTAAAAAGACCATCTTAATGAAAAAAGTATAGTTCTGGCATATGAACTGACAGATCAGTGGAACAGAATAGAAAGTTGAGAATAGGTCCATAGCATACAGGGATTTGGTATATGATAATTATGGCCTTCCGAAACAATGGGGAAAAGATGGTTTATTCAGAAAATAATAGAATAGGATCTTTTCTTCTTACCTTACAGTCAAATAAAATTCTAGGTAAGTTAAAAGATTTATCCATAAAAATTAAAATATATAGTTACTAGAAAAAAATATGGGGGGGTGGGGCACTAAGATCCTACAAGCTGCTTGGTGCTGCCAAAAAAATAATAATAATAAAAAAAAAAAACGGGAAAGTTATAAAATAATTTAAGAGTGTGGAGCGGAGGCTTAGCTACTCCCAGTAACCATAAAAGAAAAGACTGAAAATTTTGACTTAATAAAAGTAAAAAAATTTTACATGACTAAAATTCTCACTACACATATACTCGAAAGAGTAACCACAAAATGGAAGAACACCTGCTACTTAACACACATACCCTTAACCCAGCAATTCCATCTTTGATATTTATCTTATAGATGTACTCAAACTTATATGGAATGATGTATTCATCATTCATCACAGTGAGGTTTGTAATAGCAAAAACTGGAAAGAACCTCTAGGTCTAGCAGTTGAAAACTGATGATATAAAGTATGGCACATCCATGAAATGGGATACTGTGCTACTTTAAAAGAGAATAAAATTTTCATATACTGATTTGAAAGTATCTCCAAGGCCTGTTCAAGTGAAAAATGCAAAGTGTGGAGTAGTGTGTATATTTTGCTTCCATTTGCATAAGAGAAATGGATATATATGTTTTTAAGCAAATAGATTTCCTTAGAAGAATATACAAAACAGTAGCATGAGTGTTTGCTTCCAGAGAAGAGAACTGGGTGGCTAGAAAATTGGGGAGGAAGACTTTACCATGTACATCTTTTGAAAGTTGTACGTGTGTGTGCTTGCTTATCTATTAATAAAATATCACATCAGTGACCCATACTTTTCTGTGGCGTGAGCTGAGTATCCATTCTGAATAAGCTCAAGACCACATGCCATGAACTTTAATTTGGGGATTAAGAGAAGAGACAGCTAAAATATGTTTTTTTGCTTTAAATAAAATTTTCAAAGGATGCTATTAAGCAGGCTGCCCTACTGTCTTCCTTCGAATTATAGTAGTGGTTCATGAAGGCATCACAATTAGCTGATGCTGTTCAGGAGGACTTTTAGAATTTGTCTGGGGCTCTGTAAAGTGCTGATTGTACATCCTCTCCAGCCTCACTCACCTTGGGCAGAAGAAAAGAATCATTGACACCTTCTTCTTTTCCAGGTCTGGCTTTTCCACCAAAAGCCCGAGTCTCTCAATCCTCTGCTGAAGTATCTGAGTGCCACCACTGGCTTTGGAAGCAATTACGTAACGTCCAAAAAGGTAAATGTTTCCTTTGTTTCATTGAAGAGGTTGCTGCTGGGTTCCTGACCAGCCCTACCAGCTGCCCAGCTTCTCTCTCCTGGGGCTCCCGTCTCCGCTCGCTGGCATCACATGGGCCTGTTTTCATTTCTTTCTGCTCTCTTCTGCCTCTCAGCCATGGCACACCTTCTCTCCACCTAAACTGCTCTTACCCTTCTTTCTACTGATTCATTTCTGTTTACCCTTAAGATCACAGCTTTCATGTGACCATTTACATCAATCAGGTCAGATGCTTACATGCTAGGTTTTTTTGACCAGTTCTGTGTAGTATTCATTCAGTAGCGGGCCCCCTTGTCCAAGGATAAGCTCCATGAGGAGGGGGGGATTGCACCCTCTTTCCTAGCATGTTCCCTTGCACATGGCAGGTGCTCAAGAAATGTGTCACAAGTTGGATGAAATATAAAGCATCTTTCTGAGTGAAGTTAGCTTCCCTTTGAGTGTTCAGTTCCACTTATGACAACTGTTAGCTTTAATAGACTGGTGTTTTGAAGAGGTACGGGATGGAGTTTGGGAAAAAAAATGAATGCTGTGTTTTGTAGACTCTGTGTAACCTAAAATGAAATTAAACATAGTTACAGGAGACTTCCCTGGTGGCCCAGTGCTTAAGACTCAGCACTCCCAGTGCAGGGGGGCCGGGGTTCAATCCCTGGTCAGGGAACTAAGTCTCGCATGCCACAACTAAAAATGATCCCGCATGCTGCACCTAAAGATCCCACACGTGGCAACGAAGATCCTGTCTGCTGCAACCAAGACCCGGCACAGCCAGATAAATAAATAATAAAAATAAACATAGTTACATATTAGAAAAATGAAAAAAGTTTTATTTTGACCCTGTAAGGATTAATTTTGTTGGTTTTTTTTTTTTTTTTTTGGCTGCATTGGGTCTTCGTTGCTGCGCGTGGACTTTCTCTAGTTGTGGCGAGCGGGGTCTACTCTTCCTTGCAGTGCACGGGCTTCTCATTGCAGAGCACAGGCTCCAGGTGCGCGGGCCTCAGTAGCTGTGGCTCACAGGCTCTAGAGCACAGGCTCACTAGTTGTGGCGCACGGGCTTAGTTGCTTTGAGACGTGGGATCTTCCTGGACCAGGGCTCGAATCCGTGTCCCTTGCATTGGTAGGTGGATTGGTAAGTGGATTCTTAACCACTGCGCCACCAGGGAAGTCCTAATTTTGTTGTATTTTTGTCATGAGTAAGGTTTACTTTAGCCTCCCATTTTTCACTGCCTATCTTATTGTGAGGAGGAATCGGCATAAAATAAAATTAGATTGAAGCAAATAAGTTAGCTAAGTCAGAGTCAAAATTGTCAGTGATCTTGTCTATGTCAGTAGCTTGAGGTCTAAGGGGAACCAGGCTCTCTGCTTCCCGTGGTATATGTTTACTGAAAATGAACCTATGAACCTCCAGTGTTTCCCAAAATACCTTTTGTGGGATAGTTCCTTGAGAAGGTTTGCAGAAAGCAGTTTGTCAGCCAAGTAAGTTTGAGAAATGCTTCATATTATATGTCCCTCTTTCAGAGACATGCACAATGCACATTAGCCCAGTAAAGGCTTTGAGAAGTTGATACAGTTAAGAAATATGCGTGACGTGTTTCATCCTGCTGCTTGCAAGCTGTTCTTGACTATACAACTTTTTCTTTTCTCTTTAAATTTTACATAATGCTTAACATCATCCCAAAGAACACACTTTGGGAACTCTATTGTAAACTAATGAGCTTACTTTTAGGCCCTGAGAATTTGTTTGGACTTACTATCTATTGATCTTGAAGGAATGCTTGGTTTACCAAGGGGAGAAAATGTTTAATTCTATAAACCAAAGTATTTTATTAGTATCTCATAGAAATGGATTGCAGAATATTTTAACCTTTGATTAATTTTGGGAAGTCAGCTCTCTGCTCTGTTTAAAGGTTGGGTTGAACTAAAGAGAGCTATAATGTCTTTTCTGGTTACAACGTGAAAAAACACTAATATGATTGAATGAATAGAAATATTTTTTCCAAAATGTTATAAAGTTTTCTTTCATTTTTTAGCCTTTTAGCTTCATGAAGAAAGAGGCTTTTTTTTTTTAAGTTTAGGCTCTGTGTTGACTTGGAAAGAGATAACACTTTATAGGGGCTGAAAGTTTGCTTTTACATACAGTGTGTAAGTTAAATTAGATTTTCTACATAAAACGGAAGAGTGTAAAATAATAGTGGATTAAACAAGATAAAAGCTTAGGTTTCTCGCATGTAAAGCAGTTTGGAGAGGCAACCTTAGGCTGGCCTGGCAGCTCTGCAAATTGTCAGGTGCCCAGGTTCCTTCTGTCATCCCTGAGGTGTGGCCCTCATCCTTATAGCTCAGGGGAGCAGCATGGAAGAAGGGAGAAAGAAAGGGGTGCCCCATTCCTTTTAAAGAGAGTCCTGGGTAGGTACCATACAACACTTCCAGTTACATCTCATTGGCCAGAACATGGTCACCTGGTACCACTAACTTCAGTGGAGGCTGGAACTGTAGTGTTTTCATCTGCAGGGCAGTGAGCTCAGCTAAGATTAGGACTCTTTTACTAAAGAAGGTGGATATTAGGAAGTAAGTAGCAGTTGGAATTAAAAAAAAAAAAAATTCTTGATTTTCCTCTTTTGGCCTTTTTTATATCACAGATGTTTGGTGTCTTCTGTTACTAGGTACACAGCAGTTAGGGGAGACAGCAAAGCTCAGATCTTTCAGTCTTGCTATTTAAGGGAAGCATCGGTAGGCTTGGTGAGTGTTGGAGTTTGGATGGAGAGTTAATGTGTCCTCAGGATTCCTAACATTCCCCACATGGCTGCCACCACAGCCCATTCCAACTGGCCCTATTTTGGGTTCTCTTACCTGTGTTATTTAAATGGCTCCCTTTAATTCAAATACTATTCATTTCATTTTTCCTTCATACTCATCCCTATGTTTGTTTCTTTTCCAGATAGACCTAGATGAAGACACTGCTGAAAAATTTTACCAAAACTTACTGGAACTGGAAAAGGATATTAGGGTCACCATTCAAAAAACCAAAAACCAGAGCTGAAAATGGTGCTCTCTGAGCACCATTTTCATGCCTTCTGTGGATTCTGGAGCACCTGGGTTTCTGAGTTGGATGGTGTGCATTTGTGGTAAACTGTGAGTTCTGATTGTCTCTTTGTTTTAGAATTACCTCTATGACTGTACGTGTGTTTGTGCATGTGAGGAAAAGATTGATAAAATATAATATATTCTTAAGAATGGTGTTATATCGAAATTGTCCTAAGTGTCCATCATCTGATGAATGGATAAAGAAGATGTGGCACATATATACAATGGAATATTACTCAGCCATAAAAAGAAACGAAATTGAGCTATTTGTAATGAGGTGGATGGACCTAGAGTCTGTCATACAGAGTGAAGTAAGTCAGAAAGAGAAAGACAAATACCGTATGCTAACACATATATATGGAATTTAAGAAAAAAAAAATGTCATGAAGAACCTAGGGGTAAGACGGGAATAAAGACACAGACCTACTAGAGAATGGACTTGAGGGTATGGGGAGGGGGAAGGGTAAGCTGTGACAAAGCAAGAGAGTGGCATGGACATACATACACTACCAAACGTAAAATAGCTAGCTAGTGGGAAGCAGCCGCATAGCACAGGGAGATCAGCTCAGTGCTTTGTGACCACCTAGAGGGGTGGGATAGGGAGGGCGGGAGGGAGGGAGACGCAAGAGGGAAGAGATATGGGAACATGTGTATATGTATAACTGATTCACTTTGTTATACAGCAGAAACTAACACACCACTGTAAAGCAATTATACTCCAGTAAAGATGTGAAAAAAAATAAAAATTGTGCTAGTCACAATTTGTTTATTCTGTGAACTGCAGCCCAAGCTACACTTCATGGGATGAGGTATAGACTTGAATAATCATGACACAGACACACACTGGTTCTCCTTTTCACCTGCCCCAGCAGGAGGAAATACTGCCCATTCTCTGAGTGACCAACTTAGCCTTGTTCCTTTTGAGTAGTTTTCCTAGGTCTTGTACCTTATTTCTTCTTCCACATGCTGCTTTTACCAATCCTAATACAGATGCCCATGTAATTAATCATAGTAACAAAGTATATGTATTTGGGCCACTTGAATTATTTTTTTCTTATTTTAAAAATGTCTTATTGAGATTGATTTAGTCCATGTTAATAGTGGGCCTGACCTTTAACATAATTTGCAAATTTGTTTCTTACCCACTCGTTTTCATGACATTTTAGTGGATGTACTCTTGCAGCAAAAATGATTTATTCAGATTGTTTCAGTGAAATTTTCCAATTGAATAATTACTGGTGGAATGTCTCCTGGTATCAGTAGTGGTCGAAAGTGGTTAGGACTTAGTTTGCATGATATGAAGACAAAATGCTAAGATGCTTAGATGTTTCAAACAACACCTGTAATATAACAGTTACAGTTTGAATGAGTTAATGTGAAAAATTATATGTAAATACAATTTCTTTACATTTTAAAGTATGGATTTTTGGTTATACTTTAAGTTTGTTGCTAAAGATATTTTTAATAACAATAAACATATGTGAAAATGAGGGCTGAACACTGTCTTCAAGAAAGAAGGGTAAAGTTGGAGAGCTGAAAGCAGAGCTGGTTTTTGATCGTCTGTTCACTCGCTGTTAATTGGGAAGAAAGACTTTATTATGGATCTCAAACTCTTCATCTGTGAAGGAATTATCTTTCTGCTTCCTCTGTTCATGGGTATGCAGTGAGCATTAAATGCAATAATATGTGAATGAATAAAGAGCATTTTTTGAGAATGATGACTACAAAGTTTTTATTAGAGATTAATAAGCCAGAGTGTCATAGTTGAAATATTACTGTGTAAGGCACTGAGTGACCACCTCCCACCTAGCTGAGAGTTGGTTTTGTTTCCCGAATGTTTTGTTTTAAATTGAAGTACAGTTGACTTACAGTGTTTCAGATGTACAGCAAAGTGATTCAGTTATTTATATATATGTATATTTCAGATTCTATTCCATTATAGGTATTACAAGATATTGAATATAGTTCCCTGTGCCGTACAGTAGTTCCTTGTTGTTTATTTTACACATAGTAGCATGTATCTGTTAATCCCAAACTCCTATTTTACCTCCCCGAGCCCTGCTATCCCCTTTGGTAACCATAAGCTTGTTTTCTTTGTGAGTCTATTTGTTTTATAAATAAGTTCATTTGTATCATATTTTTAGAATCCATGTATAAGTGGTATCGTGTGATATTTGTCTTTCTGTCTGACTTACTTCACTTAGTATGATAATCCCTGGGTCCATCCATGTTGGTGCAAATGGCATTATTTCATTCATTTTTATGGCTGAGTAATATTCCATTGTGTGTGTGTGTGTGTGTGTGTGTCTGTGTATCATGTATTCTTTATCCATTCATCTGTCTATGGACATTTAGGTGGCTTCCATGTCTTGGCTATTGTGAATAGTGCTGCTATGAACATAGGGGTGCTTGTATCTTTTCCAGCCGGAGTTTTCATCTTTTCCAGATATATACCCAGAAGTGGGATTGCTGGATCATATGGTAACTGTTTTTATATTTTTAAGGAACCTCCAGACTGTTCTTCGTAGTGGCTCTACCAATTTACATTCCAACCTACAGCATAGGAGGGTTCCCTTTTCTCCACACCCTCTCCAGCATTTACTATTTGTAGACATTTTTTTAAAGTTTGTTTTGGCGGTGTTGGGTCTTCATTGCTGTGTGTGCAGGCTCTCTCTAGTTGTGGCGAGCGGGAGCTACTCTTCGTTGCAGTGCATGGGCTTCTCACTGCGGTGGCTCCTCTTGTTGCGGAGCACAGGCTCCAGTAGTTGTGGCACGCAGGCTCAGTAGTTGAGGTGCATGGGCTTAGTTTCTCCACGGCATGTGGGATCTTCCCGGACTAGGGATCAAACCCACGTCCCCTGCATTAGCAGGCGGATTCTTAACCACTGTGCCACCAGGCAAGTCCCTAGTTGTAGACTTTTTGATGACAACCATTCTGACCGGTGTGAGGTGATACCTATTGTAGTTTTGATGTGCATTTCTCTAATAATTAGCAACGTTGAGCATCTTTTCATGTGCTTTTTGGCCATCTGTATGTCTTCTGTGCAGAAATGTCTATTTAGGTCTTCTGTTCATTTTTTTTTGATTGGGGTGTTTGGTTTTGTTTCAACATTGAGTGGTATAAGCTATTTGTATATTTTAGAAATTAACCCCTTGTCAATCACATCGTCTGTAAATATTTTCTCCCATTCTGTAGGTTGTCTTTTCATTTTATTGATGGTTCCCTTTTAAGCTTTTAAATTTAATTAGGTCCCATTTGTTTATTTTTGCTTTTCTTTCTTTCTTTTACTTTAGGAGATGGATACAAAAAAGTATTGCTGCAATTTATGTGTTCTGCCTATATTTTCCTCTAGGAGTTTTATAGTATCCACTCTTAGGCATTTAATCCATTTTGAGTTTTTTTTTTTTTTTTTTTGAATAGGGTATTAGAGAATGTTATAATTTCATTATTTCACATGTAGCTGTCCAGTTTTCCCAGCACCACTTATTGAAGAGACTGTCTTTTCTCCATTGTATATCCTTGCCTCCTCTGTCATAGATTAATTGACCATAGCTGCATGACTTTATTTCTGGGCTTTCTATCCTCTTCCTTGATCTATGTGTCTGTCTTTGTGTCAGTACCATACTGTTTTGATGACTATAGCTTTGTAGTATAGTCTGTAGTCAGTGAGCCTGATTCCTCCAGCTCCGTTTTTCTTTCTCAAGATTCCTTTGTGTGGAAACATAAAACCCTGAAATGCCAAATTTAAAAATTTTTTGTTTTAGTTCTGTGAAAAATACCATTGGTAATTTGCTAGGGATTGTATTGAATCTGTAGACTGCCTTGGGAAGTATGGTCATTTTTACAATATTGATTCTTCCAAGAACACATTATATCTTTCCGTTTGTGTCACTCTCAATTTCTTTCATCAGCATATTATAGTTTTTGGAGTACAGGACTTTTGCCTCCTTAGGTAGGTTTGTTCCTAGGTATTTTATTCTTTTTCATGCAATAGTAAATGGGATTGTTTCCTTAATTACTCTTTCTGATATTTCATTGTTAGTGTATAGAAATGCAACAGATTTCTGTGTATTAATTCTGTATCCTGTAATTTTACCGAATTCATTGATGAACTCAGGTGGTTTTCTGGTAGCATCTTTAGGATTTTCTATATATAGTATGATGTCATCTGCAAACAGAGACAGTTTTACTTCTTCCTTTCCAATTTGGATTCCTTTTATTCCTTTTTCTTCTCTGATTGATATGGCTAGGACTTCCAAAACTTTTGAATAAAAGTGGCAAGAGTGGGCATCGTTGTCTTATTCCTGATCGTAAAGGGAATGCGTTTAGCTCTTCACAGTTGAGTATGTTAGCTGTGGGTTTGTCATATATGTCCTTTATTATGTTAAGGTATATTCCCTCTATGCCCACTTCCTGGAGAGTTGTTATCATAAAAGGATGGTGAATTTTATCAAAAGCTTTTTCTGCGTCTATTGAGATTAACAAATTGAAGGATAAAAACCACATGATAATGTGGTATATCAGGTTGATTGACTTACAGATATTGAAAAATCCTTGCATCCTTGCATCAGGATAAATCCCACCTGATCATGGTGTATGATCCTTTTAATGTATTGTTGGATTCAGTTTGCTTATATTTTGTTGAGGATTTTTGCATCTATATTCATCACTGATATTGGCCTGTAATTTTCTTTGTGGCATCTTTGGTTTTGGTATCAGGGTGATGGTGGCCTCAGAGAATGAGTTTGAAAGTGTTTCTTCCTCTGCAGTTTTTTTAGAATAGTTTCAGAAGGACAGGTGGTACCTCTTCTCTAAATGACTGGTAGAATTCACCTGTGAAGGTATCTGGTCCTGAACTTTTGTTTGTTAGGAGTTTAATTACTGATTCAATTTCATTACTGGTAATTGGTCTGTTCATATTTTCTATTTCTTCCTAGTTCAGTCTTGGGAGAGTG